GCACGTGTTTACCAGGCAATCTTTATACGTACCCCACGTATAATAATAATACAGCCACCTAGGAATTTTACCAAAGCTCACTATTCAGAAGAGTCCTAAAAAAGCTTAATGTGGAAGTGTTCCATGTCAAGACCGTAATTTGCAGACCAAGAGCGATGCTATACAATTTTGAGTAAGGTCGAGCACCCGCACAAGACGAATAGGCAAGGCAAATCGTAGAATTTCTCGAGATTAGGGCCAATGCCACGCAGTTGTCGATAATTTCGTCAGGAGTCCTGCAGAGTATGTGATCAAAAGAAGTTACGGGACGTCCTTCGTAACTTTCGAGAGAAAGATAAGCAACAGATTTGAGAGGGGCTTCAAATACGACAAAGTCATGTACGGGAATCAAGTCGGTTTTGAAACTCACTCTCTCGATTGTTAGTTACTGTTTGGATTACTGTTTGGAACGTGATAAATATATCCGAGATCATGGTCGAGCGGAAAACGGAGAAAACACCCTTTATTGCCAGAAAACGTCGCGATAACCGGGTCGCTTTTGCAAGGAGTTGATTCTGGAAACGCTGTAGGATGCGGGGAAAAAGTGGCCAGACCTAGAAGAAGGAATGTGGTCAAATCTCATAAGTAGATCGAGCTTGCACTAATGTGAGCGGGGTTAGAACAAAACTCCATGACTTTGCTAAGAAACGTTCTGGAATGCGGGAAAAGTGGTCACAGGTAATGGAAAAGTGTCGTTGAATTCATTAAGTGGGCAGATCTTGCACTGACTGGCCGGGGCTAACATTATCACAGGGGTGGGCGAGATTAAGATCAGAAATCCACCCCTCTGTTTGAAGACGTTTTAGGGTGCGGAGAAAATGATTAGGGGCGCTTAAAAGGAGGAGGGGATGGTCAAACGTTTACAGTGAGAAGAGTATTCACTGGACGGGGTCAGATCAATCACTATTAGTTCTGCACAAATGAAATATATCGAGCGAATGCTTTCAAAGCGGTCCCTTCCAGCGTTCAAATCAACGGGTGCTCAACTTTCATAGCAGTTTTGAGTGCCAAGGCTTACTACTGCGAAGACCGAGTCTTGCGGAGACCCAATCAAACGATTCAGCGCAGGAAGGCTACGGATTACCACTACTGCGCAGGCATGAAGATCATTTGTGCGTCGCGCCAAAGTCCCACATGAATATCTTCCGACGTAATGAAATATCGACGATGGTTGACGGTTCTGACGCAGTTACCATCTCGAGGTACCATCAGCTGACGTCTGCGGAATATAGATGCCATATTGGATTATAGAGAAAGCCCGTGAAAAAGCGCTGGTGTCTACGAAAAACAGACGAGTTCGACTTCAATGGGCGCGCATGCAGCTCCACTGAACACTCGACCAATTGCGCCAAGTCATCTGGAGCGACACGTTTGTTCAATCCGGTGGAGATGGAGGTTCGTTCGTAAAACGACTTTCCAATACAAGTCCCGTCCCCACTACCAATTGCCAACCGCCAAGCACTGTGGCGGTTTAGCGTTAGTTTGGGGATGTTTCCAAGTTCAAGCATGGGGCCCCTCCATCATGTTCCCAACCCTATGGACAAGCAAATGTAAACAGACATTCTAGAAAAATACATGCTGCTTTTCGCTCATCATGGGCACGGCAGAACTTTCCCTTTCACAGCGAACGACTCTAAATACAGATATAGTAGGTTGCGCGAGTGACTGACTCATCGGAAGACTCGATGCCTTGACTGGCCTAGCCACTCCTTTGACTTGCACAATGGACCCTTTGGCAGCAACTCAAGGAAAGGAGAGCCGGTAAAAAAGCCACAGGTTCTCCCAAGAGGTCTGCCCGATTGGAATAAGAATGGAAGAAAATTTAATAGTGCTGGCTTGATAATTTGGTCAAATCAATGCCCCCGCCAATGCAAATCATTGATACCCAAGGCTTTGCTTCGAAGTATCAGACTGATAGTTGATTGAGTTCCGATCTCATGATAATAGCCTTTAGGTTGAGCGATTTATCTTGAATTATTGAAACTGGTGTGATCTTATTCTATTCACGTTAGAAGGAAATGTTAAATGTGGCTTTTGAGGAAATAAAAGAAGTTACGCGAGTTCTGTTATGGGAGCATTTAAAATCATTGCTATTGTCGACATATCAAAAAAATCAGCCAAAAATATTGAGTCCATCTATAGTGATTTCTTTTTGAACAGCTATCAAGGCAACACACTTATCGGCATACAGAGCCGCAGTTTACGATAAAAATGGTTCCTGAGTTCTCCCTCTAGGACTACCCAGGGGTGCCCAAGGGTAACAATGTAACAGGAAGAACGCTGTCTGATCCAAAAACTCAACAGCTAGGACAAGTGGGAGCCACACTACTGGGCCGCCCGGTTGCTACGTCCATCGGCCAACGATGTGTCAGACGAGTATCAAGGCGATACAGTTTGCAATATTCGCGCCAGGACCCACCCACACGCTCAGCACGCCATCAGCTGATCGCCGGGTAGTGAAGCGACGTTCTCTTCCTTTTCTATTACTCTCTGCTATTCTTTTCACTGCTGCGATAATTTATTTAATTTTCTACCTCGAAGGGATGAAAAAGGTGGGCTATTTTCGTTGTTACTAGCGTTTTTGTTAACTTATGCTTATGAGTGGATGAATTTCAAAGGGCATTTTTGCTTATATTACTTAGTTTTTCGCACAGCCCTTTTTAAAAATTTTTTCCGAAGACTTATCATTCTGGAAGCGCCGCTTCGCGCACTTTGCTCGCTTTCATCACACTATTTTTCACCTTATCTTCCATTCCTCGTCATAATCTGGATTACCCAAAATTATCGTGAAGTGTGCCTTTAAGTACAAGATCTACATATGAGGGTTTATGCAAGTAAGGCCGAATGAGGAATTCGACCATCTTTCCTGACGTGGCAGATTATCACCTACTTAGAAGCCGATGATCGGAGCAAGTTGCTATCACATTTCCTCCTTTAAAGTAGACTTAGGCACAGTGAACGTCGGAAAACAATCTCGGAGTATCGGTATGCACATAATCAATCCGCCTCAGACTTTTCGTATTCGAGTGCCTCGATGTCCAGAGACACTTTGCATTCATTTCATAAAAGGTGTCCATGTTCATTACTGAGAATAACACTTACACGGCTTGTCTCCTCCATTTATGTGCGAGCACCAGCAACAAAGCACTCGCTTCTGTCTTTCACGATCGCCATCCACGGTTGATGCAGAGTCCGACGAAGATGCCGGTGTGAAGAATCTCCACCTGCATTTGAAGGTGATTTACGTCATCGACGAGGGCATCTACCAACTTGCCATAGGCCTCCCTTTTGATCGTGAAAATCCTACAGGGACCCCTTCTCGAGTGTTCTTCTTGTCCATGTGTCACCTTCTTTTCTCGTGGGATGGCTGCCCCTCGAAATTTGGCGTTTTTCATGTTTTCCAGTGGGTCGCGAACGCTAGACATTCTGTGCATATCGGAGCTGCGTAGTCCGGCTTAACATCGGAAAGATAACGCTCGAATGCTCTTTGACTTACGCTCGAAGTTTATGACTGGGAAGCATTAGCCATCGATGTCTCCGACATGTAGCAGGGAGTAGGAAAAACTGAGGAATCGAGCAGATTATAGCGAGGTTTCGGATCAGCCAGATGGTTGGTAATTTCTTTCAGAGGTCCAAAGGCCACCTACGCTGCTTTCTGCCGTCTTACCAGTTTTTCCTTCATGTCACAGTCTATGTTCATGAAACGCCAGAAATAAACGTAGGTGTGCCATCGATCTTAATTTGACCTTCGCCAGTCCAGGAATTTTTCTTGAACTGTGTCTTTGCTTGGTTGATCGGCATCCCGACATTCTTTCATGCTTCATTGAGTTCCACACCCATGGTCTCAGCCTCCGCAACGCTGAAAAGAGAACCGTGTTGTTCGCGAAAGAAGATTTGTAAGGCGCTCTGTCGGAAAATGGCCCAGAATAGCTTTGTCAAGCTTCAAAATAACCTCACAACAAATACAGACCTAACTGTTGATATCGGTTTTCCAGAGTCTGGATTGACAGGTGTTGTTCGTCATGATAGAGCAGACGAAACGCTAGCACAAATAGATACGTATCGTCCTAACGAATCGAGGAGCCCTTCTGCCCTCGTTCCCCCCAATTCAGGAAGTCAAAGCTCATCTGATGTTTGGAGCGTTTTCCATGTTTACTACTTCTTACGATCCTTCAACTCGTTAACAATGACGAATTTGTAGAAGAAATTTCTTTTTGTATCGTGCCCAGCGAGAAAACGCTGTTGCGAAGTCAGGTTCATTCCTATGATGGCACGTAATTTTAAGGGAAGTGGCACTGCTGCTATCGCACCTTCGACCTTCTTATCTCTCGCGTGATAGTTGCGTAAAAGTTGGAGTCGCACCATTCGTTCCACGTTCAACCATCTGTAGCGGGGATGGTCATACATTTTCTTTCATTTATATTTCTTTTGAAAATACAAATGAATCTCACTTTGCTCACCTACTTTGTAATCGCCAATTAATGACTTTGCCGTTTTCCTTACTTGTAAGCCTACATTGTTTTCAATTTCGGAATTTTCTAGACATTTGTTGCCAGCGTTCGTGTAGTTCTCTTAGCTGCTCAAGTAGCTTTTCAGTCAACACTCTTCCACGGTCAATTAGTGTCAACATTTATAGCAAGCGCTTTCCATACCCACATCTTTACTTCGGAAATTGGGTTACTCTTTTCATGGTTAGAATCCCTAATGGTTTATCCGTGGGAAACATATGCACAGTAAGCACTATTGGCTTGTAGACGAAATCATTTAGTGGGTGTACTTCTTTCAAGAGGGACCTCGGGAGACTCCGCCCGTCGCCTGCGCAATTCCTCACCCACACGGTTTCGCGCCAGCTCGTTTCCTCCTACCCAGCTCTCGTTTCGTTTGGCTTTTGCTAACTTCTTATCGATCGCCATCGCTGGCCATTACACAGTGTGAATGTACCAAATGTTCTAGACAAGCAAATGGAGCATCCGTTGGTGCAGCGTCTGCTGGATGTGAAATTCGACACGAAACGCTTCGTCTCACTTGTCACTCATGGTGGTAAGAATTTTCCGGATTCAGAAGGACGAAAGTTTATCGCCGAGCATTTCGACATCACGATTCAGGTGCATCATTTCATTCGCGTTTTCATTTCAATCTGTTTTAGGTCGATTATCTTCTTTGACTTACCGAGTGAAGTATGGTCTCTGGTTAGGGGGTTTGAAAGAAGAGTATCAGCTTTAAGAATAATGCACCGTCAGCAACAATCTTACTCACCTGTAAAGGCAGATCTATTTCTACCATTTCAACTTCCAACAAATTTCTGAAAGCACATTTACTGCTTGGATTTGTGAGGTTTAAGATTTCTTGCTAAATGTGTGATTCCAATAAACCAAGCCTTCGTTCAGTTTATATCACGTCATTTCAATCTAAAAACTCTTTCGGACATCTCTTTTGGGTAAGATCATAGAGTGGCAAGGAAGGCAAATTTTTTAAACTCCCTGCTTTCTGATAAGTATAGGCGCATTAGGAGTCCGAAATTTGGTCAAATGTTACGGCCAAATTTCTGACTCCTAATGCGATGAAACTTATCAGAGAGCAAAGAGTTTATTAAATTTGCCTTCCATTCTATGATGCGCTTAAAGCATTAGCATTTGGCCATGTCCAACATAGTCGAAGTAAATTTATGCAACCTGGCCCTCTACTGTTAAAAGAATATGGAAACGTGATATTTGGATTCAGAGGGGTATATCGGTGAGCGTTCATATATGCCCTAAACATCATCCGTGTTCATTTGCTAACAAGAAGAAGAAGAGGAACAAGATATGAACATACCTTTCTTCATACATATACTCATAATGATATGTTTGACATTGTTTGCTCATTTTAAGCAAAGGATTGCAACAAAAATGAACAAAGATTTGTTTTGTAAACAACGCAGATTGGAAAATGATCCCCCGGTATCATCAGCATTTTGTTTCTGAGTCACCTGTCGAAATGAAGTGAGAAACGCATTTCTGTAATTATGTTTCAGGCCTCCATACTATATGTACTTGTAGTATTCGGCACAAAATTCTTCATGCGAAATCGGCAGCCCTTCTCTTTGTTCATACCTCTGAATATCTGGAATTTTATTCTAGCCGTGTTTTCGATTATGGGTATGATCAAATTAACGCCGGAATTTTGGGGCACTCTCTCTGATAAAGGGTTTCAAAGTAAGTCTTGACTTCATCGTATTGATTAATTCATCTATGCAGTATAATACATGCCGAAGCTTTTCGTGATGTAATTTTGCTGCATGGCCTCTAATTGTCTGGCAACAGCATTGGTAAACTTGCTTCAGTTCCCAAGGCCGTTTGCTCTTATCTAATCATGGCGGTAACTGTTCCTCGGTTTTTCAGTGCTCGCAAGGTGATGGTGGGGCGGTGTACGGGGTCATAGATCATAGTTCCCCTGAAAATGGTCCGATGAATAATGAACGTGAACGTTACGACAAATTCCAAACCGAATATTTTCAGGGACTTTCTGTTCTGTGAATATTATTCGCTGAGGAATTAGCCAAGGCAAAATAGTTGGTATCTAGATCACATGCATAAAGTCAAAACCAGAGGAGGATTACATTCTATTCTTGAAAACTATGACAAGAAAGTTTTGGGATGTCTAGCTACCGGAACAGCCTTAATTAGGTCCCCTCCCGCTTAGTAGAAAGGTGTGCAAAACGAGGTGTCGTTTCAATTCCTTTGCAGATTGCCGACATATTTCAGAGCGTACCTGAGCCGCTTTTGGCGTTGATTGCTTTACGCTCGACATATTTCAGCGGGTACCTGAGCCGCTTTTGGCGTTGATTGTTTTACGCTTGATTTGTTGCCGTATTCATCGTTTTATTCATAGAGCATGATATACCAGTTATGCTAGAGCGGCTCACTGTCAAGATGGTGATCGTGACATATTACTTACTATGCATTTTACAGATTCATATTGCTTTGCATACGATTTCACAAAGGGTGAAAATGGTTACTGGGTGTTCCTCTTCATCGTATCGAAGCTATTCGAGTTGGTTGATACTGTATTTATTGTTCTTCGGAAACGGCCTCTCATGTTCCTTCACTGGTGATTTCTTGTTTCTTATTTGTGGATGCTTCATATGAATTGCTAATGCTAACGAGAGAGACTAAGAGATGATAGCTTACTATGTTGATTCTAACCTTGGGACCTTGGAAGGAGAAGGGTGTAACCAATAAGGATTTGCCGCTGGACGAAAGTAGGGTGCGCGTAAGTACGTACGCAGCGCGGTTACTATGCCATTGATGGTCTACTTTCACGTAGTTTATTACAAATGGCCTACTGTCTAAGTTATGGAGGATTTTGTGTTTCCTTTTGTGAGTATAGTATGAGTCTAAGTGGAATGGGCCTACTGTTTGCATGATTTTATCGCGTTCAGGTATCATCACATCCTCACCGGTATATACGCCTTCTATTCTCACCCTCATACTCCCGGTTTTAACCGCTATGGAATCTACCTCAACTATAGCGTTCATGCGTTTATGTACAGGTGAAAAGAATCAGTCATTCACAATTTGTTTTCCTTCTTAACAAAGTGTGTCTTTCCTCTTTCAGCTACTACTTCATGCGCTCAATGAAGATTAACGTTCCCGGTATTGTTGCAAAGTTCATAACTACTCTCCAAATACTTCAGTTTGTGATATCGTGTGGTATTCTAGCACACATTGGATACTTGGTTCATGTTGCTGGGGTACGTGTTCTTATCAGTGTTTTCGAAATTTCGAGTTTATAGCCAAATTGCGTCGCTCGTTACTTACCCTTCTCTGGTAAAGAAGAGAGCCAAGAAGGAAGTCTGTCGGGTTCTCATCTACAAGTTTACTTGTTGCGATTGAGGCAACAGGTGAAATGAACTATCGGGCATATGCCTTGAGGAAGTGTTAAGGAAAAATTCTATTTGGCTCAAAGTTGGAGCGGAGCTTGGATGTCGTCAAATTTCGCTTCTCGGCGATATGCAAAAGTCTTTTCTATTCGGAAATAGGGCTTACTAGCAAGTGCAAAACTAAATTTAATTGCTGTTTTAAGAGGTACGCATTGATTCAGCAACATCCTTCCTTCAGGTCCCCTGTGATTTCGACGATAACATCTTCATTCTGGCAACGTTCATGGACACAACATATCTAATTCTATTCATCAACTTCTTCCTGAAGTCATATGTGTTGCGTGGTGGTAAAGCAAAATATCAGGCGGTACAGACAAAGTTGAAGAAAACCAACTAAAATCACAAACGGGTTCTAGGTATTGTGCATAGTGCACTTATAGGTTGTTTTAGCTTAGTTCGAGCCCCATTTCCGATATTGTTTCGTCAGGAACATTTGTGAAGATCTGAACTCGCTGATCATTCCTTTCCCATCACGTGACTCAATGTACTTTAACCTTCAAGAAGTGACCTTCAAAACTACATCGTTTCGGCTTTCACCTCAATTTCAAGTGTTACGGTTGATATAAATTGTTCGAAAGAGCTGATTATGACATTTAGTGCGAGACTTATGCGAGGACTTACTTTTCAGAGATTTTCTTAAAATTTGCTTTTTCTATGTGTCTTTTCGATGAACACTTCACAAGTGTTATTGACATTGCCAGAAATATAAAAATAGGTGATTAATTGAACCAAAGTTACCCCTGGGGAAGGATACCAGGGCGCAGTGGCCATTCAAGATGAGATGTATACCAACGTGAGTGTTTTCAAACGCTGATTTCGAAGCGCTGGTTTCAAATTATCAAAACGATCCTGGGAACAAAGTTACGACCCCTTTTCCCCGGGCGTTGCTTTTATATGTACGCGACCCGAACAGTTCTGAGCGATGGCCGAGTTGGGAGGATGATGGACTGGTAGACACGGCACGGAGGTTGGGATCCCTGATGCATGTGCTTGTTTTGCTTTTTATAAAAAGTGTCGTGAACGCTTGCAAAACACCTTTATGCATCATATAGACCACTTACAGCTCTCCTTCATATTTACGCAGCACCAGAAATGCACGCAACAAATACGGGTGCACTATAAGTCCAGCAGGGAACACCTGCGAGAGCTTTGTCAAAATAGAATTGCGAAATTTTGAGCATAATCTGGAGGATACGACAGAAACTCACGATCAAAACATTCAATCGATCAAAGTGTTTCCAGATATTACCAGCCATATGTTCTGCTCAAAAGTGGTCGTATCGCTTTTTTTACCGTTTCGAACTGGAAATCAGGTCCGCTACAACCCCTATGTTGAGCAAGGAACTTATGCTGGATTGGGTTAGATCATGCGTTGGAACAGCAGACTTGCCTTCAACCCTAAAGATCGTCGAGTCATGGAGCTCGTTCAAGGACCATAGAGCGATTCAGGGTGTTTTGCCAACTAGCAAGGGGGTGAAATTGCTCTACATTCTACCTGCATTAACTTCCGAAATTCAGCCTCTCGATGTATATTATTGCATACCATTCGAAGCCATGCATAAGCGTATTGTCTCTTTCGCAATTTCTCATGATCTTGACTTCCACCTTAGCACTCCATAATTCGCCATATTTCACTAGTATACTACTCGTTTAGCGCGTCTAGATTCAAAAACATCCTTTTTCGTTCATGGTTTGCAGCAGGGTACCTGGATACAGACCCGTAAAATTCGAAACTCCTGTTCAATACTGTTTCTCATCTCATCTAGACGGGAGTTATAAGTGTTGGATGGGATAAACTATTTTTCATAGGTTGCTATTATTGTGAGAAGCTTATCTGTCTCGAACCCTTTGTGTTGAATAACCAACTGCTCATCTATTATTCTGGCAGTACTTTTTCATAAAAATGTCAGCTGAATCGTACCAGCTCACCTCTATCACTTTCTACAGAAGCCACTACTTCATCCAAAAGCGCTACAGTCGGAGGGGCTGCCCGGCTAGAGCTGATGAATTCACATCTTGAGTGCCAGGAGCGGAGGTTCTACGTGCACCGCTATTCGGTCTGTGAAGGCGACAAAAACTTTTACTTGTATTATCGTTTCTGGTGCTCCGTAAATATGAAGGAGGGCTGTAAGTGCAGATGCGTAAATGTGTTTTGCAAGCGTTTAGGAAAACTTATACGAAAGCAAAACAAGCAAATGCATCAAGGATTCAAACCTCGTTGCCGCGCCTACCAGTCCATCTTCCTCCTAACTCGGCCATCACTGCATGTGCTCGGGTCGCGTATAAAAAGCAGCACCCGGGGAAAGAAGGCTCATAACTTTGTTCCCAGAATCGTTTCGCAGATTTGGAACCCAGATTTGAAACCAGCGTTCGAAAACACTCACGTCGGTATACATCTCATCTTGAATGGCCACTGCGACCTAGTACCCTTCTCGTAGAGCTACCCCTCATTACTTTTAACTTCTTTTGAGTGCATTACTGAATGCGTGTAGAGAATCGAGAGCAAGTATCCTAGTTCTCAAAAAAAAGGAGAAACATTGAAGTAGTGCAAAATGGCACATCCACGAGACGTTCGGACCGAGGGAAGACTCAGACAAGAGCAGGTTTGCAGATGAGCAAAAATAGTGCCTCGTCAAAACGATTGCTCTCACAGTTTTCAGTATGGTTGCAGATTCGAACGCCTTGGTTCTTCTGAATGGAGGACGACTGTAGGTGCAACATTTTGTTATCGTTCCCCCCCCCCCCCTCAGGTGTTTCAAGAAGCCATGCCTGAAGGCGGGATAGGCTACGGCGTTGGTCAATTGTAGTTTTTCTAGGAAACACGCGAAATAGCCTTTCTGTTGAACTACCACAAATAAGTCAATATACTCGCCTCAGCTTTGCAAGGTGGCTCTCTAGGGTGAGCGAAGTGAATGGTGCGAGATTCCTTGGACCAGTCATGACAAATTGGAAAAAAAGCTCATGTTCAGGTGTAAACAATATAAAATTCTAACGGATTATCTAACTGTAAATTCGTCTCATGATCTCAATGTTCTCAAGTTTCTGCACAGTTCCACCATATCGGTTGGTCAGAATTACGTCAGAATTCCTGCGTTATAGGCTCAGGACAAGGATTCGCTTGGGGAACATCTGCGTTCCAAGAAGTGCAGCCTGTTGCCCTGCCGCATTCATCTTCACTATCAGATGTCGGCTTACATGGTTCAAAAGCTTTCGTCAACATCTATTGCTCCACGGAATTTTGCGTTGGAGCTTTCATTATTCTCTTCAGGAATCAGGTGAGGTTGCTGGAAACTCAAGACTTCAGCAGGCTGCTCAAAAGGAGAATAAGTGAGATGGCGATCTGTATTTTCAATGCACCAACGCTTGCAAAGGTAGCGTGTTTCAGAGACCTGATGATGCAAGGTGGGAAGATCAAGTGCGACGTCATCGGACTGACCGAGAACAGAAGGCATCGCCCGCTATATTTGAGACTGGAAAAGAGCTGTTCCTTGGAACATGCGTCAGCTGTGGCCTTGGCGGCGTGGGTGTTCTCTAGAACACGCACTTGGCCATGAACATCGATTCGTACGAAAGTTTGACAACCCGAATCGGACTTTTACGTTTGAGAAGATGTGGCTCAACCGTAGCTCTGACAGTCTTCGTTGTCTTTGCACCAACATCGAGCTACGAAGAAGAAGAGCTAGAAGCGTTTTGCATGGTTCTGGAGATGGAGAGGCTCTAAAGAAAAGACCGTACCTCATTCGAGGCCATCGTCGGAGAATTCAAGGTTGGTTTCAGAAGAAGTGCTGAATAGCACAACATCGGGACTCACGGAATTGAATGAGCAGGGTGAAAGGCTGTTCAAGTATACCATGTCGATCCACACTACCCTTCGTAACTTGCAGCTCCAGAGGCCTACATCATTTGCGATTGACATGGGAGTCACCTGGTGGACAGCTTCATAATAAAATAGATCCCTTGATTTTCGATCGGAAGTTCTGCCTGCTGGCTTCGTTGTTATTTCGGAGATCTGCGACTATCGTCTCCTCCGCGTAACATTCTGCTTATCAGTGCGCGGAGAGAGAGCGGTGGAGTCTAGAAAACCAAGCCCCAAGACAGTTGTCACTGACTTTGGGATGAATTCGCTTCACTTGCGATTTGGTGGGAAGATTGTGTTAGCAACAGCATCGGTGAACATTACCAGCTTGTGGAACATCTTTACGACAGCACCAGGAAAGCAGACTCTTAGAGATGTCAAAAAACGCCTCTCTTTGAAAATCTCGAGCTCATACGCTAGTGTGGAATTGCGCGAGCTGCAGACAATAACCAGCGAACGTTCGAACATGCGAAGCTATGCAGGCAAACAATTAAGGAATCCGAGAGAGAGAAGGGCAGCGGTTTTAGCCGAAGCCGTAGAGGCTGGGAAGAGCACACACAAAGCCCGATAGAGCTTCGTCAACTATAAGACCAAGATGACTTCCCTTCGTCGCCCGGACGGAGTGGTTACAGCATCGCGAAGGGCAATAGAGAACGTCATCCACATCTTCGACTATGATCTCTTTCTGCTTACCTACCATTTTAGGCAAGACCGATATGTCACCCTTTCAGTTCTCCTTTGTCAGAACTGGACATGTAGGAATAGTACGGCGGCGCTTGGACCCGACAGGGACGAAGCAGAACATCTAAGGAGCCTTTCGCCAGTCACTGTCAAGACCGTGATCCGGCTCTTCACGAGATGACTGTCAGAATGCAAAATGCACTTCGTGGAGAACCAGGAAGTCTGTGTTGCCGTATAAGACAGGAGGTATAAATATTATTGGCAGTTATTGCCCAATCTGCCTGTTATCTGTAATCCACAAAGTATTGAAACGCGTCATACTCGACAGGAGTGGCAGAACATTTGATGAAGGATAGCCATGCGAGCAAGCAGAGTTTCATTGAGTTTCGGACTGAACACATCCACATGGTTGCAAGACTCACTGATGTATGTCTCAAGATTACAAAATGCTGTTATGTCTTACGATCGTCGGTTTGAAGAAAGCCTTTGCTACCGTCGAGAGAGAAGCGCTAATCGAGGCCCTGGGCACCCAGGGTGTTCCTCTCAGTACACTATAAGGATGCTTCGTGAGCTCTATAACACGGCCAGGATCTCGACATTCCATAAGGAAGTCATCATCAACGTGAAAAAAGGGTTCGACAGAGCGATACCATCTCGCCCATACTTCTCAGTATCGCCCTCGAAAACATCATGTTTCATTCACTCACACACATTTCCCTGACAACTAACATATCGATGAGCATATTTTCACAACATCTCGGCACCCTTATACTTCGACATATACACGCCCATACGTCTACACACATCTGCACACACACACATCGACACGCACACATTTCGATACACCCTCACCCACATACACACATTTACGCACACAACTTCATACGTCGATATGCACACATATTGACACACAAGTCGACATCCACACATTGACACTCATGCCTTGACGCACACACCTTGACACACAAACGCACACACACTTACCACCCACACACGCCACATATCCACACACGCTCGCTCTCGTGCGAAATAAATAGGTATAGTAAGGTCGTGGTATTGTTGTTATCATTAGTTAACTACATTATCAAGCATCATCGAAGCATTAGTTAACTAAGCATGTTTTTCAATTGTAAAAGTGTCGCTGCTCTTATCGAATGAAAGAAAAGAGAGCACTAATCCTTGTTCAGTACTTTTGTTCATGCTGTCAAACGACACTCAACAAGAATGCGTGGTAATATTGGTAATCGTGGCCAAATATGGTATGACAGTTTCATTACCCTATTTGCTTGTGCCGTGATGTGCGCCCTTCGTTTCACTATTATAGTGCCTACCTAACTCATACCAGGAAAAATGTATTTCAACAACAAATCAGAGAGCATGGCGGGAGCCGAGCAGTTAATCTAATTAAGCAACAACTATGCAGCTGTGAGGACACATTCAATAATCTTTATTCGACAAACCCGTCATTAAGTGAAACAAGGATCGTAACAACACGCTCAAAACAATTATTTATCAACCAGGTTGTCGGAGTGTAAATGAGTGCAGGAAATGATAAGAAATTTCAGTGTACGGTCTGTTTAGGTGCATGTCCTTCTCCTTTTTCCTTAGTGTTTCCTCTTTCCCTTTCCCATATGGGTTTTGTAGCTGAAATTCCCAAATACTTGCAGTAAACCCAACGCTCACAGGTATTCCGACAACCTAGTACATGAATACGATTATCAGCATCTATCAGCGAGCGAATAAAAATGATTGGCAGCGCACTGGTAGACAATTGGTAGCTTAAGGTAGAATTCCAGAGCTTTGTAATATACACATTAATGAATGCACTTGTAAATTCCTGATGGGGACACACGAAGTAGTTGGAGGTCGTGACAATCCAGCAAAACTAGTGGGTATATGGAAGCTGTAAAGATCATTTCTTTCGTCCCGCCATTTACCGACGCACTCTGGGGGTTTCGCTTCATGGTGGTTATGTGTACCTAGCGGTTGATTTCATCACTTCCAAAAAGGATTTGCAGCAAAACAAGCAGTTGGCGTACGGTCATTGAGTGACCGAGTTAGTTCAAGCAAAACTTCAATCCTTAGTTGATGGGTCGACACGTTTCTGCGCGCGGATATTCTGTTTTGCACAGTTTTTTTTTTGGGTTGAAGACTGTGATCAGTACCTTCGCACGAGCGAATTCCTGGTCGTAAGCTTATAATACATTTCGATCTATGGACAGAATTCTACAAGAAACATCTGGAGGGGCTGACTAGAAAATATTATATTAGGTTGAGTCATAAGTCTTCGGACAATGTCAAAGTGATGACTTCTAGAGATCATAACTCGGGAAAGAGGTGACAAAAATGGACGAGCGAGGCATCTTTGGATAGAATATTATAAGCTCTTCCAAATACATGCTAACGAATACATTTGACCGTTTCCTGCGCTCGAGCGTGAAGAGTGAAAGTGCCATTTCGGCGCAGCAGTCTATGTCATACTGCTTCAAAGCATGAGGCACCCATCGACCGAGCTTTCGCACCTTGCCATTGACTTGAATCCACGAATAACTGTGAACTGACTCCCCAAGGGTGACTGCCAGTTTACGAGTAGTTTGATACGGATCGGCTTCCACCTGGCTCCGCAGCTCCTCCAAATCTAACTCCATTGAGAGTCCCGGACGGTCTTTGTTTTCGATGGAATGGTCCTCTGACGTGAACTTCGTGTGCCACTTGTGAATTGTGCATCTAGCAGGAGCACCCTTCCTGTAACTTCCTTAAAACGGCTATCGATCTCAGCGGGTTCATGGCCAGATAAAAAAAGAAATAGGGTGGTGTTGTGGAGGTGAAGTTGCGACGACTTGAAATCATGGGGCATTGTTGCAGGAAAGGAGACAGTTAGGTGTGATCGTTGGTATGCATTTTGAAAAGCTTTTCATACACTATCTAGCAATGCCACGCGCGTCCATTTTCGTCTCCTTTCCCCCGAGTTATGATCTCTAGAAGTCATCGCTATCATTTTGTCCGAGGACTTATGACTCGACCTAATATATCAACAACCCAAAACACCTCGGGGAGTAACTCCAAGTGACAGAGATACTTAGAAAGTGAGCAGAAAAGTCTTTAGGAAGTTTGAGCGTATTTAAGTGATCGGATAATTGCTCGTGCCCATTTGAGCCGTTGCGACGTACTGTTCAGCATACGTACATCGACATTAGCAGAGGCAGATGGATGTCGTTTTGAAAAGAAAGACCGTGTAAAAGTCAAGAACAGTCGCTTGTTTGTTGGTTGTACCGAATCTGGTTGGGAGTTTGACCGGACACAGGCATTGACCCGCTCAACATCGAAACAGCGTCCGAGTAATTAGGTGGTAAGGAGTGATCCTAAAATTTTCGCTGTTACTGGATTAGGTAACACATCAGCACACAAATCAGGTTCACAAAGTGCGCAGATTTCAAAATCAGCAGAAAGGTGAAGCTAGTTTAGAGCAGTTCTTGTTCAGTGCTAGAGAATAGGGCATAGAAGTTAGAGAAATAAAGTTCAACAAATGAGTTACACGAGTCAAAAAGAAAAGGTACCTCGAGCTTGTGCGTAATAACATCTTCGTATGATGGAAGACCCCGGTCAGGAATGGAGATTCGTGGTGCTCGGCAACAGTTGATGTGAGGTGCCGGCGCTAAGCACGGATACGATCGAGGAATCGCCAGTGAGAAGAGCAGCTCCTCCTGGATTTTGTGAACATTACAAGTGAGGTACAGATGAATGAATAAAGATGCTACCTAGAACTAAAAAATGGGGGATCTTCTACCTACTCTACTAGGGGATTATATGCTGTCATCAACTGAGAAACCAAGTATAATAATAACCGTTGCATTGGTAGAAATGTTCATTGTGGGACAGACAGCTACCGTTGAACTATACACACTGCACAGTACACCTCCCCTGGGCGTAAGAAGTCATGCGTTATTAATGGTTCAACTCAGCCGATAAAAGGTTCTCATTCTACAGCGCGAGAGCTCATAACGCGAAAGGTAATCAACAGAAATTCGAGGAATCAGTTTGGGAAGTGCTGCCATGCACAATGTACGTAATGCATATCTTGCACCGTCTAATTACCTTTTATTCGGGTCAATGCAGCACTCCTTGGCTAAGAAAAGTTTGAAGAATCTCGATGACGTCAAGGTTCAGGGGTTCATCTCTTCCGAATCGCAGCCGAAAAAAATTCCGAAGGCTGACCCATTCTTTGCGCAGCACATGGAGAGACATCATCAAATTAATATTATACACTTCGGCCTAATATACTTTACTATTCCTTTCATAACAAATTAACTGTTGACCACAATGATATTTGATGTTGGTCAACCTCGTATAAAATGGGTTGGACGAAAGAATAGTCACCATATTAATAGGCTCAAGCAAAGGAGTTAATCACATTGGTTTTTGAACACACTGTGAAGGAAAGTGTATTAATGAGGACATCTCCATATTATTAATAGTCAGGTTCTTCGCGGAAACTTGCTCTTCACACAAGCATGAAACTACAAAGCATTATTCCTGTTACTCTTCATCGTCTCTATTATTCTACTTTGTATAACGAACCTGTTGATCTCGCTGTCGCTGCTTTCGTTCCCGGTATTTCTTCTGGCAGTAGAAGATGAGATTCATGAATGTACCTGCTACGCAAACGCCTAGAAGCCAAACGACAGGTGACCAACGAAGGACGTCCTCCGTTCCAACCTGAGATAAAAAAGTATATCCGTGTATAATGTGAAATTACAAAGCATAGTTTTTGCACGTAGCATACTAACCACATTATGGGGCCTTGATTTTATCGTTCTCTTCGAAGCCTAGAACTACTAGAACTAGAACTAACATGAGGCGCACTTTGACAGTGTAATACGGAAAAAGTTGAAATTTTGTCACTCTACACGTCAGTCGTTATTGTTTAACCACTACTATATACAATGCTATTGAGATGTCAAATAAATCATATATGTTAGAAGAGCGAGCAGGCGTACTAGGGGAATGTCTGTACTGTTGGATCCTTCGATTTTTCAGCGCTACTGATTCCAATCTGATCAGAGCTGAGAAATTTCTTCGAAGAATGAACTGGAGCACTTGCTCGTTACATTCTGCAAATATTTTTGAACTACGGTAGGACCTCAGTATCGGTGAGCATCCAGTATGAATGTTTTCGCTAAATATAGATCTACTAGTTGCCCACAATCATTCATAAAAGGCAAATGTGGCGCACGTCACTGCGCATTCAAAATAATAAAAATCCATAGGCATATATAACGCTTATATAACTTTCTGGCGTTTCAGTTATCTTTTGCGGCTGGTTTCCTTCTGATACATGTTCGACGTCTCTCGCCTAGTTGTAGAGATTCATTAGCAGAATCGACTCTCAGTTGTCTCTCCTGCTGAATAAGTTAACCTGAGCTTCTACTGATTCGTAGAGAGACCGTCGTCCCTACTTCCCCACTTGCTTTTTCCACACTCTATCCTAGGCGATATTCTCATTTGTCGTAGCTGTTCTTTCTTACATTATTTCAAGTCATGTTTCATCGCTTTATTTCTCTACTGCTATAGTGACTTCCTACTCTATCCAGTTCGGCTGAGTGACTAGGCTTTTTATGATGAGGTGGCCTTGATTTCCATGTGTTCTGGCTGAATGAGGGACCTGTAAGACAGTTACCCCTACCGCATATCGTCTCCATTCGTTGCCTGGTGTCCCGGACGAATCTGTTGAACTCGGGCTGAGATGTCAACAAGCCATTATTCTGTAGCCCTCTATTTGCTTCAGACCAATAGTCAGGAACTGATGGAGAGACCCCTATTTTATATGAGATACAGGCTGGGGTCTCGGTAGTGTAAAGAAAAGAGTATGGTGTTCGCGTAGCACAAGTACGGGATCAAGCCTCGACATTTTGTCTCAACTCGCCGACATATCTCGTGCTGCGGCGAAATAACAGCAATTAACAAAATATCAAGTCAAAGCAATTTATGGCTGGAACTAGCAATCAAAAAAAATCAATCGTTCTTACTTTACTTGATTCTACATATATATACAAATACCTATCATGAACATTTCAACTTGAAGCAATCTTTTCAATTTCACCTTTGAGCAACTGACCCTGGACTAAATGATATAAATTATTTTCGAGCCCTAGAATAAGATCTATCTTTAGTTTCATCACCTTCTTATGAGAAACCATAAACCACAATTATTCAGCTCTGAACTCTCATAACAAGGGGGCCGGAGCAAAAACTTTGAATCTGTTCCTACGATCGGTGCTGAAAAAATGTGAAGTAGGATGGAACACTTTTGCAGTCGCGGTGGCTGAGGGCTATTGAGTCGTCTACGGAAAAAACCTCCAACTCACCTGTAATTTTGACATAACGCATACTATTGTGATGAAGAAAAACGCTCCAGCGAGAATTAACACCTTCTTCAGCTCATCGTAGACGTGGTCCGAGATCTCTCGCGATGGATACGGACTGTAAAAAGATATCCAGTTATCCATTCACCACTTATACATTGTTAAATACTGTGGCTTTTTGCGATATAGATTTTTCACGCTATTATACAATTAATTAAGAGAAAGATCAGAACATCAAGGTCACTAAGATTAAGAGAGAGAGGTAGATAAGAGAGCTACCCCCTAAAACATAATGTATATAGATACTTTCAAAATTATCAGTCCGTAGAGATATGAGCACGGTGATGCTCTCTTTTGACAGTAATTGAATAAAGAAGTGAGTGAAACCTTCAATCAATTATTTGATTTTTGAGGCCCAGTTCACGACAAAAATGTCTTAAGAGATATTCTGTTGGGATAAATGTGTGGCCCCTGGTACCAAATGTGGCGCTGTCAGGTGAAAAAACGGCCTAAATAAGGTGTTATGAAGGCTGAAAGATTGTACCGTGTGTATTCTCGGACGAGTTTCACCGGCATTGTAGAGGCTGCAGCAAGCACAAGGGTACCCATGGAGGAAGTTCGAATATCTTGTCATGACTTATGCCACAGCGAAAGGCAGTTCTCTACAATTCTGGCTTGATGGAGTTAGCTCTTAGCTCCTAATTTTTCGATTTCTCCTTTACCGATGCCCTAGTCCCACCCTTTGGTTCCAGCCCTCAACTGAAAAGGGGTGAATCGAAATTATCGTGAACTGTGTCTTTGAGCATTTTTCCCGAGAGCGGGAGATATGGAGAACGAACCATAATTTTGACAAAAATTCAAGCATGATCAGGGTAAGCTCTATGTGTTGTGTATATATGTGAGAACCCTTCAAATGAGAACAGATCTGATCGGTCTTCAAATGAGAACAGATCTGATCGGTCTTGGAGTGCTCACCCTTTGCCAAGATTTTCCAGCACTCATTGTTTTCTGTTCTGGCATCAATTACTCGTAAAATTTCGATGACCTTGCCCGAGTTTTAGATGAACCCCCTCACCGCTTCGCCTTTCCAACCAGGTCGTGAAGTGACAGGCGTAAACTCATTTGATTTTTAAATGATGTGAGAGCGGAAGTGAGTAGAGGATGTAAGGGAACGTCCGAAATACAGGGTGAGGCGGTCAACCGCACGATCCCAAGTGTTAAAAAACACACAGAAACAGTTGTTTAGTCAGATATTGCGACGAGCCTTCGGGATACGAATGAAAATTTCGATTCAAACATTAAACATTCGAATTTACACAACTTAACATTCGAAATGTTCCTTTCTTGAATATGATCGCAGTAAGGTGGTGACCGTTTTATCTAATTCTCACATTGAAATTCTCATGGACACGTCCTAGCATCGTCGAGGTTATCGCACGAACTTCTTGTTCATTTCGAACTTTCAAATCCTGTACCAATGGGAGACGAGTCGCCAAACTTTCTACTCGAGATGATCCTATGGAAAGTAATTACAAGAGCTCAGAACAGGCTATCGTGGAGTACATTGAATATCACTATTACTACTGATCATGCGGTTCGATAAAATGTTTCCCAGAAGGCTAAGACTCCTCTAGAGACCAACGTGCCCTACCAACATCGCTTTTGTTTGGGTCACCGTCTACTTCCCTCACTGTACACCCCCTCCACCCTACCTTGAGAACATTCAAAAACAGCCACCTGCCACATTTCATCCTCCTAATTTATAGCAGTTGCTTGCGATATTCTACTCAACACGCATGTGAAAGCTGGCCAATAGTCTACTTTTCTACTTATACGAATTTATCTTAGCATTTCTGGGAAGCAATTGTTGAAGAAATCGCAACTTCCTCATCGGATGTAAGGTAGTGGAAAAGGAAAAGGCAACTTCAATTTTGATCGTTTATCTTAAAATAGTTTCTTTGCCGCCGTCAGTCAAAATTCCCAATCAATTTCAATCAAACTGCATTTTCAAGATTCCAATTTCACACCTGATAGTTCCAAGAGAATAACAGGACCACATTCAGCATACCTGCACGCCTAAGCGATTTCGATACAATTTAAATACTGGTACTACTGATCGACCCGGACTTTCTCTGCAGCTTGCTTAAGAATTTTAGTTGCACTTTTCTTTACATGCAATTTTCAACGAGAATTTTTCCGACTCTTTCTTCACAAGGGTGGAGGTGTAGTGGCAAGTGGCGCACTCCACACACGCTGGTCACGGGTTCTAATCCCGTGTCGGTATTCGCGTGGGCTAACCAAGCCCTCCATCCCTCTGGGGTCGTTTAATTGATACCATACCCGTCCGGGAGGATAAAAGCACTGACATGTAAATAGGCTGGCCACATCAAGCCATTGTATAGGCCACATACACATTCAATACGCCACTACGATTCCGGATGAAAGTCGAATGCGAGGGCGCATCCCTTAGATCGGATTGACAGACGTCAGGAGACTTTATCCTCACAGACTTCTTTTACACTCTTTCAAAAAGAAACTGCAGTTGAGGAACGATCACACCGCTGAGACTTCTTCCGACAGATTAGAGGACTTAGGGCGAACAACGGCCCGATCCCGATCCCGATCCAGAGCCCCCGATCTTTTGAAATCAATCATACAAACGTGCATGGACATTTTCAGCGCAGAATTTTTATCTTGTGATACAATTCTCTAAATCGTCATAAGATCCAATCTTAGCGGAAGACTCTGGAAATCTGTCAAAAAGTGTAGAAAAAAAGGACATCGGGTTTATCGTTAGAGGCAACAATCCTAATTTAGTCTAGGTACTTTAGTTACCCATCAATTTTTTGAAAGTGTGAACTCTAGGCTGAGAACGCCGATGCAAGCTCTTATCAAAGCTTAGATAATCTTTCACACAAGGGCCAGAGGTGAGAAGAAGACATAATTAGAGTTGATGCCGATGGAGTGGAATGAGCTCTTAACGCCATTCACAAGATTAGGTGCCAGCAACAGCGGAAAAGATGAGCCTTGTTTTGTAATGAATTTCGATCGGAAGTCAGAAATTCTTCGATCTTGACCGGGTGCCAGAAATCCTTCTTAAGGAAACAATGTCGAGAATTTTCCGTGCCGCAAATATGGTACTTGTGCTTTCCGGGCACCTTGCTGAAGCATATAAGCCACTAAGAAAGCGGGGTCTCGGGGGGGGGGGGGGGGGGGGGGG